TCGACTTGGTCTACAACTGGAAGGACAACTTTCAGGTGTGGATTTATAAATTATATATATATATATATATATATATAGTTTTATATCATTGACTTTAATTCAAATCATTTTAAAATTATTTTTTGTTCAGGTGGATGGTTACGAGGAGGGGAAACCCGATTGCCTCACATTTGACGTGTGGGATGGCCTCATCAGCTATTGGGGGTTGCCGGACTCGGTCAGAACCTCCCAGACAAACTCCGAGAACCGCATGACAAGAGACGAGCATGGCAACACGAAGATGTTTCACACCGGGAGTCGAAAACTTCACGGGGGAATCCTTTTAGACATGGTAAATTATTTTTTAATAACTATTTAATTTTTACTCTATTTATATATTCCTAATTAATATTTAATTTTAAAAATTATTTTTAGGCTAAAGAGACAGAGTTCTTCCATCTCTAAAAGAGCTTTACGAGAGGACCCACCAGAACAAGGCTGGGCATTTTGTAGATCCTAGATCCAAGCGGATCTACAACGAGGTTGTTGCTCGGGTTGACCAATGCCAGACCTAGTTGACTCAGCAGTCTGGGACATCATTCACATTATCCACTCTTGAAGTGGATAAGATTTACGAGGAGGTAAATAATTTGTTTTTCTATTATTTTTTATTATTTATTTAATTTTTTTTAATGTTATTAATCTTTTTATTTACAGGTCACCCCTAGGAAAAAGGGACGTATCGTCGGGATTGATTCCGTTAACGATGTCCCCACAGCGACATCCTCTTATGCTCGGGAACATCACGATGTCAATGTTCAGCTGCGCTCGGAGTTGCAGGCGACGCAATCTCATGTGAGTTCTCTCACCAATGTCCTGGACGTTTTGGCGGTTGGAAACCCGCAATTGGCAGAGATGTTGCATGTGAGACGAAAAAACAGAGGGCTTCCAACCCAACAGCATCATCCACTGTCACAGCCACAGCCGACGGAGGAGAAGTTGGCGAGCCGGGACGACTTCGTTCGGCAACGAGCACCATCCGTAGTTTTTTTATTTTTAATTGTATATTATGAATTTTAAAACTTAAATATTTAGTTATTTATAAAATATTTAGTTATTTCTTTTTTTATTTATAATTTGGTTTTTAAAATTTTTTAAAATATTTTATTTAAATTTATAATTAATATTTTTTTAATAAGGAAAAAATATTTCGAAGTAAACTCCTCGTAATATTTTCGAAGTAAAGTCCTCGTAAACTTTACTAGTAAATTCCTCGTAAACTCGTAAATCATTACTACGAGTTTACGAGGAAATGTGTTACTATGACTTTACGAGGAAACGTGTACGAGCACTTTACGAGGAAATACGTATCCACGCGTTTACGAGGAAAAGTTTCCTCGTAAATTAGCTAGGACCTTACGAGGAAAAAGGCTTTACGATGAACGTGTTTCGAGGAAATGCGTTTCCTCGTAAGTTCCTAGTAAATGGTCATTTACTAGGAAATTAACATTTACTAGGAAATTACGAGGCATAGTGGTCCTAGTAAATGATGAGTTTTCTTGTATTGTAATTGGTTAAGGAAGAAGCTCTAACAAAGACATAGCTTTCCTTCTGACTCTCTCTTCCGTTCTTCGATAGAATCATCAATGGCACAACCTAATCGAGTCTACCTATCGAGACCAGTCTCTCAGTGTCTCGCTTACACAGATAAAGCACATTTGCTTCTGCTTTTTCTTGGTTTCTAGTTTAATCCATCCGTATTCGCTTTTTCTATCTTTGATTTTTCTAGGTTAACTTGAAAGGTCTCAAAGCTTATGATATAGACTCAAGACTACACCTAATACAAAACATTTGGAAACCAAAAACCCCTTGGATGAAACACCATTAGTCATGTTAACTCAATACTATAAAAGAGAAGAATACAAATCACTGCATGACCAAAAATGAACATTGATACAATCCTAGAGTCTTGAGTTCCTATCGACACTCACTTCTTCTTACAAGCGTGTATAGTTTCAATGTTGTAAATAGAGGAATCAATCTTTTTCTGAAAAAGCCAAGAATTTTACCCCTGACATTTCCATATGAACACCAATGAAAATAAAAGTGCTATGAATCGCAAGATAAGATATCCATAGTAATTATTCATTTCTAGATCATCTTTCAGTGTGCTACCTTCTGCGGGAACAACAGAGAAAAAGGGAAAGTCTGAGGACCTTTCTGCAGTAAACATCTCTCCTTCATCACTGGATATTTATACTCATAGTCAGTTACCTTGGAATGCGATGAGGTCGATCAAACGATTCTGAGTGGGAGAGTAGATTCACCAAGTAAAATCTTGGACTAAATTACATTAACGGAAGATGAAGACGTTACGGAAGCTGATCGGTGCCTAAGTTATCTTGAACCTACAACTTCGTCTAAGATGATCAACGGTGAGAAGAGTAGAAACATAGGTTATCACTAGGCTTTAAACTTTTGAATTAAGGCCCATGCGCAATGTAAAGCAAGAACATCTTAGAAGCCCAGCAAAAATATAGAAACCATATGCTTTTTTTAGCGACACGTGGCATAAAACGCCCTTAGACCATGTACAATGGGGGTATTGAAACTATGTCTCAACAGTTGAAAGTAGTGCAATGAGGGTGTTGATAAGTTAGTCTTCATGTTTTTGAGAGATTTGAGGCTTCATCAACTTCCTGAAGGTTAAAAATGCTAACTTAGTCTCATGAATTAAAAAGCTGGGTTATAATTCTACATAATCTTCCTAAAATAAGACAAACAAACCAGTGTTTCCATTATTTGTAGAAGCGTCTCCTTCACTTCTTCTTCAACATGTTAAACCTGCAACAAAATGGTTCAGAGGCTCAAAGCTTATAATATAGACTCAAGACTACACCTAATACAAAACATTTTGAAACCAAAAACCCCTTGGATGAAACACCATTAGTCATGTTAACTCAATACTATAAAAATGGAAGAATACAAATCACAAAAATGAACATTGATAAAATCCTAGAGACTTGAGTTCCTATTGACACTCACTTCTTTAGAAGCGTGTATAGTTTCAATGTTGTAGATAGAGGGATCAATTTTGCTCTGAAAAAGCCAAGAATTTTACCCCTGACGTTTCCATCTGAACACCAATGAAAATAAAAGTGCCATAAAAAGATAAGATATCCATAGTAATTTTTCATCTCTAGATAATCTTTCAATGTGCTACCTTCTGCGGGAAAAACAGAGAAAAAGGAAAAGTCTGAGGACCTTTCTGTAGTAAACTTCTCTCCTTCATCACTGGATATTTATACTCATTGTCGGTTACCTTGGAATGCGATGAGGTTGATCAAATGATTCTCAGTGGGAGAGTAGATTAACCAAGTAAAAGTTTGGAGTAAAATACATTAATGGAAGATGAAGACGTTACGAAAGCTGATCGATATTTAAGTTATCTTGAACCTACGGCTTCGTCTAAGATGATCGACGGCGAGAAGAGTAGAAACCTAGGTTATCACTGGGCTTGATAATGTAAGATATCTTTTGTTATCATCTTATTATTTAAAGATTATTGCTGGTATATCTTAATAAATAAACATTTTAAGTTAATAGTTGTTACATAATCTTGTAAACATAACTAGATCATGACCCACACACCCACACAAGTTTATTTTCTGGATACATTCTATATAATTTAGTTTTATATAGTTTCGAATTTGTCCAATTCAATTTTATGTTTAAAGAACAATAGCAAAACTATCTTTTGTATTAATAACGTCAAGCAGTATATTATGTAGATGTAACTGTGCAGTGAAAATACTTTTTTGTATGTTTGTTTTATGTGCAAAATCAAATTCAAATTTAAATGTTTGCGTTAAAAAACTAAGTTGAGAGTTTAGTTACTTCTGATGTTAATAATTATCCAAACTTTTTAAAATAAAATACAATTTTTTAGAATTTGAGCTTTGAACTCTATTTTATAGGTTAGGTCAAATTCAAACTAAACTTTGGTCTTAACTTTGAATATTTTATGATAAAATATTTCATAAATAACTTAGCAAATATTTTGGTAGTTTGAAAGAATTTATGTATTTAAAATATTTTTTGCATTTAAATCAATATTTTTAAATTCAACCTAAACCGTGGTTAAACTGGTGATTCAATAGTTCAATTTTGATTTTTAAGAATATTCATATTTTAAAAATCAGTAAAACCCGACGGATAACTGATATGTAATATTTAAACTTGTAAAAATAAATTTATTTTTGTTGTTTTATATATTATTTGAATTTTTAATTTATCTAAATAATTTGAAGGAAAATTGTGAAAAATTATTAAAAATGTTGAGACCTAATACTTTGTATTGTTTGGACAGAAGATTAATTATAGTGTTGTTTGAAAACATGGATACTAGTACAAAGAAATAAATATAGTGTTTGGAAACATGGATAATAATATAAAGAAACATATATATTGTTTGGGGAACATGGATAGTAGTATAAAAAAATGAATATTAGTGATTTAATGTAGGTTTAACTATAAAGTAGAAAGATGTATTTAATTTAAAAACTTACAAAATAAATGTTAGGTACAAGTACAACCAATGTTTCTCATTTAATAAAATAGATATTGTTATATAATCTTGATATGCTGCGTTCTTATGCTTGCATATTATTATGTTGCTAGTACTTTTATCATTCATTCATTTGTTTAAATAATCCTATTTTAAAATTCTAAATACTAGTATATATTCATATAAATATTTTATCTGATTTTACTTGAGTTATTTCGGAATCATATGATGAAAACTTATATACATTTTTGAAATATAAAATTCATTATGTCTTATAGGATTTGGTTGCTTCCCTCCCACTAAGCAACATTGCAACTTCACGACTGAGTCCTTCTTTCCTTTCTCTCAAAATTGTCTTTCCTAATTCTACTTAAGATCCAATCCATCTTTTCTTTAATCATTTCCTTCAAAAACGCAATCTCGAGATTGATTTTCTTTCTCCGTGTTTTTTTTGCTTGGGTTCACGCGCCCACATGCGTCTTTCTCGTGTCTGATCTGGATTTAGATCAAAAGAATCTCTCTCTTTCTCCTTCTCTCCTATGAACAAAAAAAACAATACACAAGACACGAAGCTGAGAGTGGACAATGCTTCAAGCTACGGAGTAAAAAGACATCATTCTCTTTCTTGCGCAGCAAGTTAAAGGTGAGAGACTTCCATTAAAGTCGGATTCTCTTTCTCTCCTTTGATTCCAATTAGGGTTTAACTATTATTGTATTGAACCGTTCTAATTTGACTTCAAAATCAAGAAACTTAGGTTAAGATCCTGATCCAGTTGCTGACTTGACCCGACACGAAAGTTGAGATTTTGATCCGGTTTCTGATTGACGCATCTGGAAAAGGTTAGGTTTTTGATCTGAAAATGGAGGGCATTGATGTTTCCAAGTACACACACAGCTCTGTGCACAGAGCCGTTGCTTCAAGAGACCACACGACTCTCAGATCAATCCTCTCTTCCCTCCCAACCCCACGAGACCCTTCCGAGATCCAATCAGAAGCAGACTCCTTATCCGAGGAAGCTACATCCGACGCCATCTCCTCCGTTATCGACAGAAGAGACGTGCCACGCCGCGACACGCCTCTCCATTTAGCTGTGAAGCTCTGTGATGCAACAGCAGCCGAGATGCTGATGGTGGCCGGAGCTGATTGGACTCTGCAGAACGAAGATGGCTGGAACGCGTTGCAAGAAGCTGTCTGCAGCAGACAAGAGTCTATTGCCATGATCATCGTGCGTCATTACCAGCCTCTAGCGTGGGCTAAATGGTGTAGGAGGCTGCCTCGTTTGGTAGCAACGATGAGGAAGATGAAAGACTTTTACTTGGAGATGAGTTTTCATTTTGAGAGCTCTGTTGTGCCTTTTGTATCAAAAGTTGCTCCTTCTGATACTTACAAGGTGTGGAAAGTGGGGTCTAATCTGAGAGCGGATATGACGATGGCTGGGTTCGATGGTTTCAAGATTCAGAGGTCTGATCAGAGTATATTGTTTCTTGGTGATGGGTCTGGAGATGGTAAGGTTCCTCGTGGGTCGCTTTACATGGTGAATCATAAGGATAAACAAGTGATGAATGCGTTGGATGGTGCGTCTAGTGTTGCCTCGGATGAAGATGTTAAGAAAGAGGTGGCTGCCATGTGTAGAAGCAATATCTTTAGACCAGGGATCGATGTGACGCAAGCGGTTTTGAATCAGCAGATGAACTGGAGGAGGCAGGAGAAGAGTGAGATGGTTGGTCCTTGGAAAGCTAAGGTTTATGAGATGAACAATGTGGTTGTTAGTATTAAGTCTAGAAAAGTTCCTGGTGATAAAGACAACGGTGGTGGTGATGATGATCTCTGCGATGTGTTAACGGATGAAGAGCAGAAGCAACTAGAGGCTGCTCTTAAGCTGGACTTACCAGAGTTCCCAAATGTCAATAGTGAGAATGGTTTTGATTCTAGTCCTTCTAACAAGAAAGCGGAAAAGAAAGGGTGGTTGGGAGGTTGGAGAAAGAAAGAGACGACAATGATTAAGCAGGAGAAGGAAATTAAGTATGCACCTCCGAGAAGCTCTCTATGTGTGAATGAGAAGGTGAGCAATCTTCTAGGAGATACTAATCAGATAAAACCAGGAAGACACTCAGTAGATAATGAGCATATGAGGAAGGCAAGAGTATCATCATCATCATCATCATCAGCGACGAGTAAGAGTTGTCACCAAGAGAGCGAATACAAGAAAGGTTTACGTCCTGTACTCTGGCTATCTACAAGCTTCCCGTTGCAGACAGAAGAGCTGCTTCCTTTGCTTGACATACTCGCTAACAAAGTCAAGGCTATTCGTCGTCTCAGGGAGCTTCTTACCACAAAGCTTCCCGCAGGGACATTTCCAGTAAAGGTATGTCGTTAAATGTTAAAGAGATAATGATGTTCAGTTTTGTATTGAGATTGTTTGTGAAATTGTAGGTAGCTATTCCAGTGGTACCGACGATAAAAGTGCTCGTGACATTCACAAAGTTTGAAGAGCTTGATCCTGCAGATGAGTTTAAGACACCTCCCTCAAGTCCTACTGCTTCTTCTGGATATGAGAGTCCAGCTGCTGCAACTGACTTCACCAACTCATCGTCGTCTTCGTGGTTTCGTAGAGCGAGATCAAACAAAGATGGTTCGAGCAGCAAGTCTCAAACTATGCAAGACCCATTTGCTATCCCGGCAGGTTATACATGGGTGAGTGCTGAATCAAAGAAAAAGAAACCAGAGACACAGAAAGTCAAAAAGGGTAAAAAGACAGAGCAAGTTAGCTAACATTGCTCCCCGAGTCTTCTTGAAACAGTTTAATACTAACCTACTACTACACAGACAGATTGGTTATGAAAAGACATTGAAGAGAAAGGGTTATGCTTTTTTTATTGGATGGGAGGGACTCTGACTTTGCAATCTGCAAAGAGAAAGTCTATAACAAAACTCTGATGGTGATGCGATTTGATTCAACTTTTGATTCTTTTGTAACATAACTCATAAAATTTGCAATGAAATTGGTTTCTTTTTTGGAATGGCTTTCTTCCTTTTTTTTTTTTGTTAAAATGTATGTTGCTGAGACCTGCAACTACGATCAAATGTTTAAATTTTGTTTGTCATAATATTTTGCTGACTAGTTAGTTGCAGCGACTTTTGTAGAAAATTTTCAGGCATATAAATAAATGAACCCAGTCTTTTTGATTAGTCATGCAACATCAAACAAACAATAATCTGTTTGCAAGTCACAGTAGGGGATGTAGTAGTGAGCAAATGTGGATGATTTGAAGAAAGCATATACACCGGTCCAACAGTGAACCAGGGTTTTGGACTGAAAATCCAATAAACCGCAATTTTATTAACACGTGACGCAGACCCAGAGAGTAAAACCCGACCCGAATAAACCTTACCCGACACGCACACTCTTAATTAAAAAACTGCCGGCGAAACTTTCACCTTCCGACCTCT